ACTGTAGATGAAACCCCCCCCCCCCCCCAAAAAAAAAAAATTATATCATTTTTAAATATCAGAAAAACTATTAATGAATGAAATGAAGCACTGTGAAATGTTGAGTAAAAATTCAGATAAAAGTAAACATTATATTGTCAATTTTGAGAATTCTGCTGTTATATCAGGTACTGTTCTCAAGTGGAGCCAGTTCTACTAAGAACCAACGCTTACACTAACATAAACTATTACACATGTAGCGGGTATACAACAAGAGGCCCAAGGGCCTTGAATCGCTCTTCTGATAAATTGTACAATCTATCATTTCTATTTAAAGCCTCTAACCCTAATTATTGTAAGACCCAACATCCACTGACAAAGTTTGATGATTCTCAGCCAATTAGGACTGAAGATATTTTAACAAGAGGCCCAAGGGCCTTGAATCGCTCTTCTGATAAATTGTACAATCTCTCACTTCTATTTGAACGCCTTCTAACCCCAAGACCCAAGTTGCATCAACTGACAAGGTTTGATGATTCTTCCTAATTAGGACTGAAAATATTTTTAATAATAAAGCTATAAAAAAACATCAGTACATCTCAGTGACCTGTATTAAGATTAAAGTTTTCTGAGGACTTAAGATGCATTAATAAACAAAGATTGAAGATTCTAAGACAAGAAGTATTTGAGATATTTAAAAGTAGGTCACCGTGACCTACTTTTCTGTCTACATTCTTTGAAAACCCAAGATACATCAACTGACAAAGTTTGATGATTCTAAGCCAATTAGTCCTTGAGATATTCAAAAGTAGGTCACCCTGAAATACTTTTTGGTCGACATTCTCTAAAAACCAAAGATGCATCAACAAACAAAGTTTAGTGATTTTCAACCAGTTAGTACCGTAGATACTTAAATAAAGTCATAAAATGTCAAAAATAAGGTCATCGTGACCTACTTTTTGGACATCATTCTCTGAAAACCCAAGATGCATCAACTTACAAAGTTTGATGATTCTAAGCCAATAAGTACTGTAGATACTTAAATAAAGCCATAAAATGATAAAAGTAGGTCACTGTGACCTACTTTTGGTCGTTACTCTCCGAAAACCCAAGACGCATCAACTCAAAATGTTTGATGATTCTAAGTCAATAAATAGATACTAAAATATAGCATAAAATGTTGAAAGTAGGTCACAGTGACCTACTTTTTAGACATCATTCTCCGAAAACCCAAGATACATCAACTTACAAAGTTGGATGATTCTAAGCCAATAAGTACCGTAGATATTTAAATAAAGCCATTAATTGTCAAAAGTAGGTCACCGTGACCTACTTTGTCGTTACTCTCCGAAAACCCAAGATGCATCAACTCACAAAGTTTGATGATTCTAAGCCAATAAATACCTAAGATACTAAAATATAGCCATAAAATGTTGAAACTAGGTCATCCTGACCTATATTTTGGTCGACATTTTTCAAAGTCACAAGATGCATCTGCTGACCAAGTTATGATCCTAGGTCTGAAGGTAATCAAAATATGCCTTTTAAACAATTCAAAAACAAATGCCTGCAAAATTCAGAAAGTAGGTCACAGTGACCTACTTTTTCATAAATATGTTTTAAGGTCCCAAGATGCATCAATTTACAAGATTTGATGATTCTAAACCTCTCAGTGTCTGAAATAATTGGATTAAATGTTTTAAAAAGAATTAGTCATAAAGTTCAAAACGTAGGTCACGGTGACCTACTTTTAAGCTGACATTGTTTACGGATCCAAGATGCATCAACTGACATAGTTTGATGATCATAGGCCTTAAAGTGTCCAAAATATGCCTTCAAATCAATTTGAACACAAATCCTTACAAAATTTAAAAAGTAGGTCATTGTGACCTACTTTTGAGTTCACATGATGTGAAGTCCTGATATGCATCAACTTACCAGATTTGATGATCCTAGTCCTAATAGTAAGCAAAATATAAAAGTTTTTATTATTTGTAAATTTAGGTCAATTTTAAAGTGACCTTGAGACCACGCCCTTTGCCCCAGGGTCATGCCTTGAACAATTTTTAATCTTAAACATATCCTGATCCTTGTATGTAAGTTTGGTGAAAATCTGCCTGGTGGTTATGGAGAAGTTTTTTAGCAACCAGTACTTTTGGTTTTGTTATCCTGATTATCTCCCCTTGTTTAAGGGTCCCAACCCTTATTTTATTATAAAGGGTAGCCCTTGGGCCAAGGATACCCTGTGACAAATTTGACATTGATTGGCCAAGGGGTTCTTGAGTTATGGCCCATTTTGAAAGAGTTAACGCACACTGCACACCGCACAAATGGCCATAGCATTACAGCTCTTTGAGCCTTTGCTCAGAAGAGCTAATAAAGCTAAACAAAAAAAAAACACAAGTAGGTCACAGTGACTTTCTTTAAGTTTGAAGTTTTCTGAGGACTCGAGATGCATTAATAGACAAAGATTGAAGAATATAAGCCATTAAGTATTTGATATATTTAAAAGTTGGTCACTGTGACCTACTTTTTTGTCTACATTCTCCAAAAACCCAATGTATCAACCAACAAAGTTTGATAATTCTAAGTCAATAAGTACTCGAGATACTTAAATAAAGCCATAAAATGTCAAAAGTAGGTCACCGTGACCTAATTTTTAGTAGACAATTTTTGAAAACCTAAGATACAAGGACTGACAAAATTTGATGATTCTAAACCAACAAGTAACTGAGATATTCAAAAATAGGTCACCGTGACCTACTTTTTGGTCGACATTGTCTAAAAACCCGAGATGCCTCAACTAACAAAATTTGATGATTCTTAGCCAATAAGTACTGGAGATACTTAAATAAAGCCATAAAATGTCAAAAGTAGGTCACCGTGACCTACTTTTTGGACATCATTCTCCGAAGACCCAAAATGCATCAACTGACAAAGTTTGATAATTTCTAAACCAACAAGTACCTGAGATATTCAAAAATAGGTCACCGTGACCTTCTTTTTGGTCGACATTGTCTAAAAACCCGAGATGCCTCAACTAACAAAATTTGATGATTCTAAGCCAATAAGTACTGGAGATACTTAAATAAAGCCATAAAATGTCAAAAGTAGGTCACCGTGACCTACTTTTTGGACATCATTCTCAGAAGACCCAAAATGCATCAACTGACAAAGTTTCATAATTTCTAAACCGACAAGTACCTGAGATATTCAAAAGTAGGTCACCGTGACCTACTCTTTGGTCGACATTGTCTAAATACCCGAGATGCCTCAACTAACAAAGTTTGATGATTCTAAGCCAATAAGTACCGAAGATACTTAAATATAGCCATAAAATGTCAAAAGTAGGTCACTGTGACCTACTTTTTGTTCACCACTCTCTGAAAACCCAAGATGCATCAACTCACAACGTTTGATGATTCTAAGCCAATAAATACCTAAGATACTTAAATATAGCCATAAAATGTCGAAAGTAGGTCATCGTGACCTACATTTTGGTCAACATTTTTTGAAGTACCACGATGCATCTACTGACTAAGTTTGATGATCGTAGGTCTGAAGGTAATCAAAATATGCCTTTTAAACAATTTGAAAACAAATGCCTGCAAAATTCTAAAAGTAGGTCACAGTGACCTACATTTTCATGAATATGTTTTAAGGTCCCAAGATGCATCAACTTACAAGATTTGTTGATTCTAAACCTCTCAGTGTCTGAAATAATGGGATTAAATGTTTTAAAAAGCTTTAGTCATAAAGTTCAAAAAGTAGGTCACGGTGACCTACTTTTAAGTTGACGTTGTTCGAGGACCCAAACCCAAGATGCATCAACTGACAAAGTTTGATGATCATAAGCCTTAAATTGTCCAAAATATGCCTTCAATTCAATTTGAAAACAAATGCCCGTAAAATTCAAAAAGTAGGTCACCATGACCTACTTTTGATTTAACATGATGTGAAGTCCTAAGATGCATCAACTTTCAAGATTTTATGATCCTAGTCCTTATAGTAAGCAAAATATACACGTTTTTATTAATTGTAAATTTAGGTCAACTTTGAAGTGACCTTGAGACCACGCCCTTTGCCCTTGGGTAATTTCCCAAGCAAATTTTAATCTTCGACATATCCTGATCCTTGTGTGTAAGTTTGATGAAAATCTGCCTGGTGTGGTTGTAGAAAGAATTTGAACCATTCTTTTGGTTTGTTTCTGATTATCTCCCTTGTTTGAGGGTCCCATCCCTTATTTAAGTATAAAAGGTAGCCCTTGGGCCAAAGATACCCTGTGACAAATTTGACACTGATTGGCCCCCAAATTGGATTTTTCTAGTCCAAAAGGGCATAGCTCAGTCTAAATTTGCCATCCTACTCAAAACATAACTTGACCTTGATATTCAGCTGAAAAATCTGTATACTAAATTTCATTTCAATATGTGCAACCTCTGCAAAGAAAATGAACGGAAACTGCAAATAAGTGGAATTTTTCTAAGTTGAAGGGGCATAACTCTAGCAAAAAGGGTGCAATCGTACCCAAAACAGAACTTGACCTAGATATTTATCTGATATATCTGTATACTAAATTTCATTTGAATATGTGTAACCTCTGCAAAGAAATGAATAAAAACTGCAAATAAGTGGAATTTTTCAAAGTCCAAGTGGCATAACTCTAACAAAATGGTGCGATCGTACACAAAACAGAACTTGACCTAGATATTCGTATCATAAATCTGTATACCAAATTTCATTTCAATATGTGCAACTTCTTTAAAGAAAATGAACAGTGGAATTTTTCTTTTAAGTCCAAGGGGCATAGCTCTGTCAAAATGGTGCGATCGTATCCAAAAAAGAATTTGACCTAGATATTTACCTGATGAACCTGTAAACCAAATTTTATTTCAGTATTTTGCAACGGTTGTGAAGAAAATAAACGGAAACTAATGGACCGACAGACCGACCGACAGATAAGAGCAAAGCAATATGCCCTCCCTTCTTCGAAGGGGGGCGTAACAAAAAATAAAAATAACCTTAGACACACAGTTGTCACAAATGGCTCCACGGAAATTCCTACACTCCTCTCTATTAAAGTCTCTCTCTCCAAAGTAATTAAGCAGCTGTGATCGTCGACAGTCTGCCACGTTATCACAGTACTGTACCATCCTGAAGAGGTTGTCTATATGAACTCTTTTGGAATCAAATGTGGCTGCCTGATCCACTGTGAAAAAAACAAAACATACTCAACATTTAAGATTTAAAGTCAAAATTGTGGTTGTTTGATTTTGAATAAAATTAAACATGTTTCCAATATGTACAGTTTATATAAAAACACCTCATACATGTATAAAGAATATCATTTTTCCACAGACCCCCCCCCCTACTTACTCCCTATAATCCTCCTCAGTCTTTTGACGTCCTGTTACGTGTAGTACATTCTAACAGACCCCCCTACTTACTGTCTATAATCCTCCTCAGTCTTTTGACATCCTGGTACGTGTAGTACATTAAAACAGACCCCCTACTTACTCTCTATAATCCTCCTCAGTCTTTCGACGTTCTGGTACATGTAGTACATTATAACAGACCCCTTTATTTACTCTCTATAATTCTCCTCAGTCTTTTGACGTCCTGGTACGTGTAGTGCATTATACAGTGGGCTAGCAGTCCGTCCCTCCCGGCTCGCCCCGCCTCCTGATAAAATCCCTCCACTGAATTCGGCAAGGAGTAATGGATGACGAAACAGACATCAGGGTTGTCAATCCCCATTCCAAAAGCAATGGTAGCACATATGACCTAAAAATGCATATAGGGTCTAAGTTCTTTGGTTGGAAACAAATTGTCCAAATTAATAAAATATATTTTATTATTTTTTAGATATCAACAAATAGTTGACTATTCTACTTTCAGCTGAATGGTTTAACAATTAAATACTTCACCAGCCCCCCCCCCCCCTTGTAATACCTATTTTGGCTCTGCCCTACACAAGGAGTCATGATTTGAACAATTTAAAATCTGCACTACCCCAGGATACTTCCACATAAGTTTTAACTTTTCTGACTTAGTGTTTCTTGAGGAAAGGTTTTAAAAAGATGCCATTAATTTTCATGAATTCATAATAATCTCCCCATGGAAGAAGGATTTGCCCTTTATTTGAACAAACCTGAATTCCCTTCACACAAAAATATTTTGCTGTAAGTTTGGTTGAAATTCTCCCAGTGTTTGAGAAGAAGCTGAAAATGTGAAAAGTTTCCGACAAACCACGACGACAGACAACGGATAAAATTTTGATGAGAAAAGCTCACTTGAACCTTCAGCTCAGCTGAGCTAAAAAATAACTTATATATAGGAGGACCAACTTAAAGATGACTATATTTTCTTTGTTTGTATGTTGTTTAACGTCCCTCTTGAGAAATTTTCACTTATATTGAGACGCCACCACTAGCAAGTGGACGGTTGCAATTTTTTTCCTACACTCTGTATTCGGGGCAATTGAGCAGGAAAGGATGTTTTACGTGCCAGCATTGCACATACTGCGACACGGGACCTCGATTTATACAGTCTCATCCGAAGGACCAGTCTCGAAGTACCATAGTGGGATTCAAACCACGACGTGAGGATCAACTTCTAACCTTGCCACTCTTGGGAAGAAGCGCTAGCTCTAACCACTGTGCCACACGGGCTAGATGACTATATAATTATGATTTTTTTAATGTTACTTTTTAGATTGAGGCCAAGGGGTTTTTCAGTTATAAATATGTCATGTACCAGTGGAGTTTGAAAAAAAAAATAGAAAATGTTCCAAATATTCAACTATCGTTTAAATAATTCAATCAAATATTCAACTAAAGAAAATAAATATTCTGACATCCCTAACATAGACATTTACCTTTTGGAGAGAAACGTTTATTACTAAGTGCTTGGAAGTGATTACTAAGAAGTACTCTTTCATGCTGCAACCTTAATGAGGCCGAGTCTAATTATTTCTGGCCTAGGGATTTTGATAATTTTTTTATATAATTAATTTTTACTGTGATATTTATTTATTGTTTTAAGATTACTAACATGCTGAATGTATGCCCCATTTTCCGATTCTTAAGGCGACCATATCAAAAGTTGTCAAACTTTTGGACCCTGTGGGAATATATAAAACGCAATTTGATCTATATACAATTTTTCCCCAAATTTTTAGTATTTCTGCACTAGATATTTCTACTTTCATTCGATCAGATGAAAGTTATCATAAAAAGTCACCGAGTCACAGTACCAAAAAATTTCCATCATCTATGCTCAGTCTGAATAAATTACCAAGTTTATTTTTTGAACTAAACTACTTTAATTGCCATATTATGGAATAAATACATATCAGTGCAGATGAATTATCGGCGCATATGACTTTTTGGGAAAAATTAGCAATGTTTAGATTGTTTACATGTTTCTTAGGATGTACTGACATCAGTTTTTAGTATAATATGCATGGACGTCTTACAACATACAAGCGAGCCATGCGTGATTCTTCAGCGCCATGCATTGCTTACAAAATCCGAAAATGGTGACGTCGTTAGAGCCATTTCAGCGGGGTTTTTTCTCTAATTATTGTCGTAAAATAACATATTCAGACCAAGTAGAGGTTACAGATAATGTTAATTTTTGATTAAAATCAAAATATTTAGCAAAGGTGTATTGTCGCACAAATGACTACATGAAACTAAAAAGCTGCGCAAAGTCATGTGCACTCAAATTAGACTCGGCCTCGTTAAGTATGTTGCGGAATTGATGACTTTTTTAGAAAACAAAAGTAATAATATGATATTTTGTTTATGTAGAATTCCATCCATTGTTATATTCACTTTTTAGACTTTTATACAATTGAAACTTGCATGTCACAAAGACACATCTAATCTAAATTTCAAAATTCATACTATCATGGAAATGGTGAAAATAAGAATTCAGTGCATACTGTAAAGGAAGATTTATTCATTTGTTATATTAAAAGAACACAAGTTAATCATTTTTCTTTTGAGTTCTACAATGATAACTCAGCTGAGCTTTTAATCTAAGAGCATTACAGAACTTCACCTCTCCGCTCCTTTACATTCATCTGTTCCTTCTGTGAGAAATAGTTATAATAAGAGTGATATATTATGACGTTTTAGAAATAAATCATTGTCATGTTCTATTGTTATAATGGTCATAGATTTCACTGAAGATATTTGATTTTCTTAACTTGTCTGTTTCTCTCTTGAGTAACAAACAGATTGTCATTTGTGTCTGCACACAGTCCATGGGGATAAACCAGTCCACAGTGTATGTAACGGAGGAACTGTCCATCCTGGTCTATGATGTGGACACAGTGATTGTCAAAATCAGCTGTAAGGATGTGACTCTGACTGTCTGTGGTGATTCCTCGCGGACCAAATGGTTTGTTCTTTGGAGCAGGAGTATGTCCAGTGTACCTGAATCTCAGTTTCCCGGCCTGATTGACCACC